AGGCCACCAGCCAAGAGATACGACCCAGGGAGTGCATCCTTATTACTAGCACACTCCCCGCATAGAAGGCGCACTCTTCCCTCTCTCACGCTTTGAGTCGTGTACAGTATCGATCATATACTAATGGGATATCTTACATATACGCTTATCGTTAGATTCTGCCTACTTGCCAAGAAATCCCTAACATTTAGCATCCTCCGGGGTTGGCTATTCTAGAGTCCGCGAACATAGTTTAAACCGGGATGCAATGTATGCTGTTGTTATGTCTACGAGATATCCTCTTAATGTTCCATCCCCGCCGTTAATGCGCCTGCGTTCTATCAATCTAGTCGATTAGCCATCGATCTATCAACATGTTCAATATTGATGAGATCGACGAAGTGTTCCTAGAGTTTTGTAGATTAACTCGTAGGTTAGGTGGAATAAGTGCACCGATTATTCAGGGCATTACTGGGTCCATTAGACGGGCCACCAACGAGATTAGGCGTAGCCATTGGCGAGCACATTTGGAGGATGAACTTAATGATGGGGCAGTAGAAGAGGCCAACGGTGGAAAGTTTAATGGTCGACAATCGCAGACGATAACTCTTTGCTAAGATACGAGGCGTTCTCAATGAGGATGACGGGTAAGAGTTCCTTCTGCAGGGTTCCCATAAGTAACTAAGATTATCATAGGTTCTAGCACAGCGCCTAGAAAGGTAAGAGCAGGTCTCGATTTCACTCTGTACATCATCACGAATGATAGATTGTGTAAGATGGGGTTTATGTACTAAAGCCTAAACCAGTTGATGGAGCTGATTCACGAGAGCACTATTTACGAGATTAGAGACATATTCATGCACTTGGCGGTAACGGTATACCCATGGATGGGCGGACTTACTTATGGAAGAGAGCGGGCTCGAGTCCAGGCACGCACTTACAAACAAGGACTGGAACATGGAGAAGCCCGTGATTGGTTTGTCTGGCTGTATTTTGAGGAAGCGCGCGAGGAACTACTTAATTGATGCCGCGACGAGCCACTCGATTAAGATCCTGCATTATGGAGGGCCCTGTCTCGATCCTGAAAATGGACGAGTACACAGACAGCAACTCACATGAGCTGCTAACCAGGGCCAGGTATGAGTTCAGGAACTCACATCGCGCCCGCAAATATAGGCGTCAGCTAGTACGGAGGGCTATCACGATCACGGTCACGGATCCCCGTCTTTAACACGTGTAAAATAGGTCACTGGTATCAGAGCTGCGAGCTGCTCTTTTCAAACCGATCCAGATACCACTAGCCCTTCAGTCCCGTACAGTGGGTTGGCTCATTAGGAGGAGGATGGTTAGGTAGAACAGATACGTATATAATAGTAGGTATGCTGGAAGCTTGGGGCGTAGCTTAAGGCTTGCCCATGCTGGTCTGAATAGTTCCCTTGATAACGTACCACGTGCGAGAAGAGATGCTCATGTATTCACGGTACAACACGCAGACATCAGCGAGCAAACAGTGACCAGGGACATACTTTGAAGTCACACGAAGAAGGAGAAGGAGAAGAAGGAGAAGAGCGATGGCCTCTGATATTGAAACGAATGAGCGAGTGCACCAATTGAGTGATCTGATCGAAGCCTAGTCATCCCTATTGCTATTTCGGGTGTCGCTTTCTACAACCCAACACACGTGACCTCTCAAATTCTCCCTCACTGGCCCATCTCTACTTAGATGGATCATGTTACTGACATTCTCCTTTCCCCCTCTTCCCCACAACAACCGACCCAGGCTGGCAAACTTGCTCTTCAGCGTACGGTCTCAACGGTGGCCGCCAATGCCTTCTCGCCTCCCATCGCAAAGGTATTTGTGTCGACCTTGGTCACTTGTTCGTCGAGGTCGCGCTTCTGATCCTCGGACATGTGTGTGATGTCGAGGGCGACCTCTTCGCCGAACAGCGCCGCGATCTCCTCGAGAGACAGCTGCTTGGTCTCGGGGAAATAGAGCCAGATGACTGGCAGTCCGCAGGCGGGCACGAGGATGAAGATAAGGTAGTATTTCCAGCCGATAGTGGCGAATGCGGTTGGTGCGAGTTGGCCGAAGACTGCGGGATTTTGTTAGCGTGAGGTCGAGATGGGGAGACGGGGGATTAAATCGAGACTTACGCAGGGCCGGAGCAAAGTAACCGATGATAGATACTGCCATCCCGGTGGTGCGCATGTATGCCGGAAAGATCTCGGAACAGTAGACATAGCTAGTCGAGTCCAAGCAGAAGCCATAGAACGTCGTGTACAGGTAGACGAAGAAGACGCCGAAGCCGCACCCGACCCGGTTAGAGGTGCCGGCGTAACGGGCGACCATGATTGTGTACAGTGTCAGAGCAAAGACCGAGCCGGTCTGAACAGAAAAGAAGTCAGTAGGTATATCGGCGGGAGTGGTTGGAAGGATGGGCTGAACTCACCAGACCGACGAGGAGCAGGCGCTTCCGGCCAAAGTGATCCAGCATCAAGGCGTTAGTAAAGTTGCCGACAGCTGACCATGTGTTGTAGACAGCGAGCAGGCAGATCGCGAGCCATCCGGTGATTCCGAGGTTGTTGTAAAGGATTACCTGGTAAGTGACTGTGACAAGGACACCAGAGCACTGAAGAAGGAATCTGTCGATTCGGTCAGTAACGAGGCTTCGAAAGGGCGAGTATGGCATTGCTCACTGGGTAAGGAAACCAATGATCATGCGCTTTCGCATGGGAGGCTGGCGGATCGAGGCGAGAATGGTGGTCCGATTGCGGGCTTCGAGCTCAATCTGCTGGCGGATTTGAAGATATTCCTCGCGAGCAAGCGTGTTGCTTTCGTCCCCAGGCACCTTGTGGAATTTTTCTAAAACTCGCAGGGCTGGCTCATAGTGCTCTCGAGTAATCAGCCAACGGGGCGATTCCGGGAGCCAGAAGATGGCGGGTGCGAGTATGAGTGGCGAGAGGCCTGCGACACTGGTTACCATTTGCTTGAGTTCGAGGTGTTGCTAGAGCTGCTTACCACTCAATGCAAGGGCAAGCCGCCACTGGACTTGGGGGTTGCTGGCAAAGGAGCATCCCAGACCTCCCCATGTTGCGACGGACTAAAACGACACGTCAGCTGAAGTTGAGCGGTTGCAGAGCAAAGCCATATGTACCGCTCCAACGACAAGCAAGAATCCATGTTGTCCGACCATGTGGCCACGTCTGTGAGCTGGGCTGATCTCGCTCTGGTAAATCGGGACAATGGTTTGGAAGCCACCAGAACTGTATACATATCAACCACGCTGCACGAGATAACCTCGGGTATTTGGTTACGAACCAAATTCCAGACAGTGCTCGGCCGATGAGAATCATTGAGACATGAACGGCAGATCCCAAGAGAACGCCACCGACGACGCCGATGACCGATGTCGCGAACAAGGCACGGCGTCGTCCGAACCTCTCACAAGCCCACGCACCGAGGACTGCGCCCACAATACCTCCGCCAAAGTAACAGCCAGGGATAGCTAGAACGAGCCCATCAGAAGCGTCCCAGACAGTGGTATAGCGAGTCTACTCACCGCCGATGACACCGGTAGTGGACGTAATGTCAAGATTGAAGTAGTCATAGAAGGAGGGCATGCCCAGCACGGGACCCGTCACGTTCACAGTGAATCCATAGGTGAAAGAGCCAAGGGCCACGGTCAGAACAACAAGGAAGTTGTACGGGTTGACTTTTCGTCCCGCCATGATGTGCACACAAGGAGCCTCAGAAATGGGTTTCGAGATGAGAGAGGCAGGGAGGGATCGCGAGAAATATTTATGACAGAGCAGGGTTCCACCCCATGTATACAAGGGGCGGCCGCCCAATGAACGAAAGAGATATAATTGCGGGGCCCCAGAATCCAGGCCCATGGCACGAGATTTGCTACCGAGGACAGCCCTTTGATTGGGCATACACACGCCGAATCGGTCAACTCCTCGGAATCGGCCATCACTAGATTCTCTATGAGGATACATGGTATCTTGGAGACCTCCCTTTCACACCAGCCTCCGGTCCATTTTCTGGGGTATCCTGGAGCTGCCTGTCCGGGGCAAATGTCCTGCTCTCGACATACTGCGTCCACTAGCTCCCTGATCTACGTCAAACAAACACGAAAGCCGAATTGATATTGTTAGCCATGCCGAGCTTGTACTGTCGTTTCTCTCGGAGGTGCACAAGCAGCATAATGTACACCGGGTACTTGTCAGACCTCAGAGTCCGGTGGGCAGATCCCGATTGATTTTGGGATATTACTCTCACCGCGTCCCCTTTCCCCTGATCGCATAACATGCTCAGCATTCACTCCACTCCTGCCTACCTAGTTTGAACTCGACTTGACACTCACCATGGCTGACAACAAGATCTCTTCCGTCAACGAGGAGCATGCAGAATCAATTGGTGAGGTGAAGAAGGGCGTGATTGATTCCATGTTGATCGACACCGAGCGCTCTCCGGAAGCTCGTGGTCGGTTGGTCGACGACGTGCCCCGAAGTTACTGGGTCAGTGGGCGATTCTTGGGTAGTTACGTCGCCGTGATCCTGGCCAGCAATGCTGGCATTGGCGGCTTCAGCCTTGCAGCACCGGTCCTTAGTGCAGTTAACAACGAGCTGGGCCCTAGCCCAAATATCAGCTGGATCGGATTGAGCTGGTTGTTGTGTCAGGGCATCGGCGCCCTCATCGTCGGCCGGCTCTCTGACATCTTCGGTCGCCGCTGGATGTTCATCACGGGCTCCATCATCGGTCTCATCGGTAGCATCTTTGCGAGTCAGTGCCAGACCGTCGAACAGCTCATCGGGGCCACAACTATCTTGGGCATCGGTGGCGGTATCCAAGTCAATTTCTGGTGGGTGACTAGCGAGATCGTACCCATGAAGTACAGATACGTCGCAGTGGCAGGTTGTTTCGCGCTGGCACCGTACAGCCACTTGGGATCGAAGATCGCATACTCCCTTCTCACTCAAACCAGCCCCGGCTGGAGGTCGATCTATTACCTGCTCATCGCCACGAATGCTGCGTCGGTCGCGGCCTGGTATTCATTCTATCATCCACCTACCTTCAAAATGCTTCATCGTCACAGGGCCGCTAAAGACTTGCTCACCACCTTCGACTGGCTTGGTCTCGTTCTCTACATCGGATCCACCATTACCTTCCTCATGGGACTTCAATGGGGAGGCGCTTTGCATCCCTGGAAGAGTGCCCATGTGATTGGAGCCATGCTGGCTGGGGCAGCGGGACTCGCAATCTTCATCGGCTGGGAGATCTACCTGCCCAGGAAGTCTCAGAACATCATCCCGTTCGTGACGCTGTACTACCTCCGGAACTTCAATTGGCTGTGTAGCACGATTTTGTCCGGCGTTGGCGGTTCCGCGTACTACGGCTTTAGCACCATCTGGCCCTCTGCCGTAAGTACCATCTACTCAGTCCCCAGCCATTCCCAATACAGCACTCTCCTCTGCCTGGTCACTATGTCCTACACTTACGGACAGGCCACCGCCACGCTTGCCACCCACTGGACCGGACCAAAACCCCTGCTCATCACTTGCATGGTGATCTCCGGGCCCATCCTGGCAGCGGTTGCTTACAATCCTCTCAACATGAGCCTCACTATGGGCTTGATCACCGTAGGGTGCATCTTCATCGGGGGAATGGAAGGCATCGCCCTGGTCACCACCACGTTCCCCCTCCGGACCCAGGAAGAGATCGGCTCCGCCGGTGGTCTCAGCGGCACCATCCGCCTGTTCTTCTCCTGCGTCTCCCTGGCCATCTACGGCACCACTTTGACCAACCGCCTGGCCACGACAATCCCCGCGAACATCCTCCCGGCCATGGCAGACGCCGGGCTCCCGTCGTCCTCTATCCCCGCTCTGCTTTCAGGCCTGTCGGGCGCGACCGCTCTTAACGAAACTACGGTGGCGGGATTGAATCCGCATATCCTATCCATCGCGCAGACCGCCTACAGGGTCGCCAATGCTCAGGCCTACCGGACCGTCTTCCTCGTCTCACTCGCGTTCACGGGGCCCGGCATGATCCTCGTCTGGTTCACGTCGCAGAACGACCGGGCCAAGGAGGACTTGATCGCCGGCCATTTACACAAGCGTGGGGAAGAGAGGACCTTGGAGACTCAGGCGGACTGAGGGTCCGTCCTGGACGTGAAATTGGTTGGCACGTGGTCTCAAGCGGCCTAGTGATGATGTCTGCGTTTGCCTGATGCCGTTACTTTAATATTAAAAGCACGTGCGAATCCGGGTCAAGAGGACTATGATCCTGTCAACTACAAAGCTCATCTACATCCAAACTCGAAACAAACTGTTGTCGCGTTGAGATCTAGCTTCAAACGAGAGGAACGACGCTCTTGTGTTTTTGGAAATAATGTTGGAAACGTAGCTGAAATGAAAAGGGCGTCTGTTTGATCATGTAGTCAAGATTGACGACTACCGAGCTTTGCACTTTGAAGCTTGTAACATCGAGTAGGTGTAAAAATTTTCTCGCCAAAAATGAGAGCGGTCTATCTGGACGAGAAAAAATGATCACGAGAAAGAGATAGCGCATTTGGCTAGGGTTAGGAAGCATTTGTCACGCAAAGGAGGGGGGGAGCATTTTCTTTCCCACGCTTGCTTAATAGTAGACTATATACTATAGCAGTGCCGAGAGGCCGAATTTGTTCCAATTTCGTTGGAGCGTCTGATATCTGCCTCGCTGATGGTAATGTGAGCCCTAACTTATCTTAGGTTTGAGTGATTGATTCGGTCAATTCCGATGTGAAACCATACCATCGTCACCACGAGCCGCCTTCATCAATAGACATAGCGAAATTGTGGATTCTGGGGGGTAAAATATCAGCGACCTATTCTTCGGTTGCCCGTATACAAGGCAAGAACCTACCTTTTTGTCCGTCAGGTCATCTTCGTAAGCATGCTCGAATCCCTCCAAAGACCCTGTCCTGTCCCGCCGCCTGTTCTCCCAGATGCACAAGAATCGATAGACCATGGTCAAGCAGGCTGTGAGACTGGACGTCACCACGACCACAACCCAGGCCGGGACGTATCTAGGTGCATCTTTGGACTTGAACAGGATCGGCCCCATCACGTTTCCGAGGCAGTAGCCGATGAACATAGCGGCTGAGACGAAGGAGCGCTTGGTGTAGCCCGCGGTGTTGGCGATTGACAGCGTCATAGAGAGGACGTAGCTCCCGGCGAAGGAGCCCAAGAAGTAGACACCGACGAGGAGGCCGCCGAGTTGGGACCGGGGCAGAATCCAGAGCAAGAGGGACGACATCACGGTCAGGCACTGGCAGAGAACGATGAGGTAGGTTCGAATGTTTGGGATTTTGTACGCCAAGTAAGGTGCGCCAAGTTCAATGCTCCCGATGATAAAGCCGAATGGCATGAGAAGGAGGAGGGAGTTGAGTGAGCTGAATCCAAAACCGGCCACGATGATGGCCTGATAGGTCGACTGAGGCCCGTTCGCTATCATCATGAGAAACGCCATAGCGAAGACTAGCCAGAACTTAGCGTCAAGAAGGCCCTCTAGGACCTGGCTGGGTTTGAAGTGCACGTTGCGCACGCCAGTGTTGTTGGATCGGACGCGGGCCACGGCGATGTATCGTTCACGTTCAGTGAACCCTGTAGCGGTTATGGGATCTCCAGGCAATTTATAAAAAATGACGAACGACCAGAGAACCGTCAGGGCGCCCGCGAAAAGAAACATGTATTGCCACGGTGCCAAAGTGCCACCGGTGATGTGCCCAAGGCCGTAATTAACCAGTGGGGAGAAAATGGAGATGTATCCTTTTGGTACACAAGGGCGTGAGGATTCACAGTCGTCAGCCGAGAGGTAATAAACTTACCGGTGCAGCAGTACCATATCCCCATCCTGAAAGCCTGCTCATTCTTCTTATACCAACTACCCACAACGAGCATGAATATAGGAGCGATGCCGGCCTCGAGGAAACCGAGAAAGAACCGCTGAGCGTAGATACCTTGGTACGTCTTGCACGCGGCGGCGCACATCAACACGGCACCCCAGATACAGAGAATGATGCCGGCCACGTACCGGACGCGGAAGCGCTGGGACAGGACCACAGCGGGGTAGGCACCGCAAATAAAGCCCAGATAGAAGATGGAGGCCGAGAAGGAGTAACGATTGCCGACGGTCAGATTGAGGTCGTCTCTCATGCCAAAGATCGCCTTTTTTGATACGGATACGACGGTTAGTTTGAAGGAACGCCGCTAGGAAAAGGGGCGTCATACAGCCTGTGAAAACATTGCCTTGTCATAATATTGAAAGCCGTAGGACAGGCACAAGAATATCAGCAGTCGTCGGTCGATCTTCCTCACCAGTTGTTTCTCTTCTTCAGCGGTCCATTCTTCGCCTCCGCTGTATGAAGCGATCACCTTAACGGCTTCGTCGCCGTGAACCTCGTCCAGAGCGATGGGCTTCTTTATCTCTCGATCATGGCCGACTGCGCCGCCATGGCGTTCCTCGAGATGAATAGCCACTGAGTTGACGGCTTTGTTGGGCTCCATGTTGTGCATATTCTGCACAAATGCAGCCGACAGGGATTGCATAAAGCTTAGTGCTGACAACCAACGTGTAAACAGTGTACTATAAGGAGTATTTATCTCCAATAAAAATGAATAGTAATAAAATTAATAGTCCAGCGGGTCCCCAGAATCTCGGACGAGATGTTGCGGGGTTGCGGGCGCCGAGTGGCTCGAAATGATCCGACTCTCACTTCGGGATGGTGTTGATTGGTCGTGCTGACCGTCGGCGCTGATGACAGGCGAGTCAACGGAGTTACGGATTATGTCAAAAAGGGGGAAGCATCCCGAGTTGAGTATAGGCGTCGGTCGATACTCAGCCCCAAGATTCTGTGTTTATGGCCGCTCAAGTGCAGAGGTATGAGGTCCAAATCCTTGCATATGTATTTGTGGCTATTTGGTCCAGAAACCTCCAATCAGCCATCACCTGCGGGGTATCCTGTAGGTGCCTATCTCGAGCGATTACTCCTTTGCTTCCTGTCGTTGATAGGAGTATACAAGGGACTCAACATCGCTAACGAGGTCAATAACCTTATGATCTGAGACGTCAAAAGGCTTTCTAAGCATTGTAAGGTGGACAGGACTCACCGGCAAAGGGGACAATTTGGGTCCCTACAAAGCCTCCCACGCCTTTATGTCTGTCTGCCCACCAATAGCAATTTGCCATTCCCGCCCAACTAGCTGAGAAGGGGCCACGTCCTTGAGGTGTTGGTTCCAAGGTCAGCATAAAGCTGAGGCCCCAGCCTTGGGGCTGGTGATGAGGTTGGCTGGGATATAGTTCTGGAATGGGGTTTGTGTCCTCCGGGAGCGCAGAAGGAATGCCCTTGCGTGCAAAATCCGGGAATTGAGGTATCTGGTTCAGGAACATTATGTCTACTGTGGAGCTCCGAAGGATACGCGCATTTGTTGTAGGAGAGAGCCCACCGTTGAGCAGCGTGGCAATGATTTCTGTCATTGAAATCACATTAGTCGGAAAAGACTTAGCAGGAGGTTGATTATACCGCAATATTCAACGGGTCGACTAAATATCCCTCCAGCAGCATTTTGAAATGCTGAACTTTTATCATCTTCATTGGCAATGTCAAGAATGGACTGCATGAAGTGATGGCCCTCTTTGAGACTTCCGTCCGTTGAAGAGCGATGATTCATCTTAGCCAGCTTCTGCTGCATGACTTCGTTTGGAAACAGAGTTGCATTTTCGAGGCCCAAAGGTTCAAAGATATTGTTGCGTAAGTAGTCTTCCATTCTTTGGCCACTGGCGAGCTCTACCATGAGGGATACCCATTCATTGTTGAACTGGACGGCGTTAGCATCTCTGATGATATCCGAATCCAAGAACGCTGGGACCGTACGCCATAATGCCAATCCTCTCCTGGCTCAGTAATAAGTGGCTGGTCGAAGTCCACAAAGTTCCTGGAGTGAGAGAGAATCCAGTCCCGGAGGGGGGGGCAGTATGGCGCGTAGTTGAAGCCGGCTAAACGGGTTAGTAGAACCAATGGAAAGGAACCAGGCGTTGCGAACCTGTATGAGTGAGGAGCATCCGAAGTGTGATTCTGTTATTCTTGCTAACAAATCCAAGTTCACCGTTGGAATCTTGCTTGAGAATCTGGACCGCCTTCAGCCTGGGACACAGTAGTTCAACCTGATCCGGATCATCCAGGTTGAGCAGACCACGTTCGACAAGCTGCATGCAAGCTATGCTTAGGATCAACTTGGAGCACGATGCCAGCCAAAAGATCGTGGCCAACTCCATGGGTTCGGGACTCTGCGAACCTATCTTCCCTTGTGCTTCTGAGAAGATCAACTTCCCAGACTTGTTGACCACGCAGACCACGGCTCCAGGAATACCCTTGACGGGGTCAGCGACAGCATCAATGAGTCTCTTGTGTAGTGCTGTTTCCCCGTCAGCGGAGAGTTGATAGTCGAGGGTGCTCATTTCTCTCTGCAATTGAAGCCCTCGGAAAAGGGTAGAAATATCTTCTACAGAACACTCCGCCGTGTCGACCTGAAGAGACTGGCCGCACCGCGCGGGATATTTTCGCTCATATTGAATTTGCTCGGGCTACAGCTTTCGGCATACCTTGCCCCATCCAAGTAGTGTAAAAAGGACTAGGTGGTCGGTCAAGTCTGCGGTAGTGTCCTCGGTAGTCTCGGGTGTCTACTTTGCAGGTCCAGCACCAACGTTCTTATCCTTGTGGCCACACTCCTTTCGTTCACTAAGTCAGGCATGCATGAATATCGTAGTGCTCTCTCCACACGCCTTCTGAGCAGAAAAGAGTTTCAGGAACTGACTCCACGCGGGCCTTCAAGCCATCACATAACCTGTAACTTCTGCTCCAATACGATCTCGCCATACATGACGAGCGGCGAAAGATTGCTAAACGAATCGATATCCCCCATCAACCTCTCACTCGTCGCCTTGAATGCCACGTTAAAAGCCTCCAGCGAATCCCAATCGAGCGAGACTTGAAGGAGGTACTGTTTATCGGCACCTGGTTTTATCGGTGACCCGTGTAATTGCACCGCTCGGACACCTGGAATCCATCGAGAGGCCATGTCAATCTCTCTGATCGTGCGCGGGGGGGATCTTCGACAAAATGGTCCTTACCTCTGAGACCGAATGGACCCATCTCTTTGATCACTTTTGGTGCATGTCCGGTAAGATACTTTTGTACGTCCACCCTGCCGCCCGGCACGTTTGCGTAGAGAACTGTCACGGTGATGGCCATCGCTTCAAAGGATGCTGGAAAGTCTTTGGTGAGGGCAAGAAATGGTGAGGTTGGCTGCTGTGGAAAGAAGTATTACACCACTGAATCGAAATCGGGGGCTTCGTAAAACTTTCTGGCACTGGAACACCGAACGATCTCGGCCGCAGCCGGGCCGGACACCGATCCAGGGGAAAAGTCAATGTCAAGCCGCGCTGGCTTCGAGGAGCATTCTGCACATAAAGTCTCCTGCAATTAGAAGCATTATCTACGCGCGGAAAGGTCTTAACAACTAGTCTAAGAAGCTAGAAAATTAAATGAGTCCATTTATGCCCGCAGTCTTGAAAAGGCGAGGAGTCTTGAATCATATTCTGGATGTAAGGTGCCTATTTCTGGAACTCTGGATCGAATCTGCAGTCACTCAAGTGCAGCCATACTGAAGTGCAATCCAAATTCTGCCATAGGTTAGTCAGTCGTTCAAGCTGGTAAGAAACCGGAAGAATCGGGTCGACCATCGTTGAGAACGCGGCCACTTACTTTGCAACGCGGGTCCTTGTCTGCGGCTTCATATATCTTCAGCGAAGTCTCCCCCATTTGAGCCGGTGTATCGCCTAATTTTGCCATGTCGACCCCCAGAGCCACGTCTTTTATGATCATGGGAATGACGAACGAGACTTCGTACTTGTTGCTCGCAGGACCCGGGACGATGCCAGGAACAGGCTGAGCGTACTCGAGTGCCCATGACGCCCCACTCGAGTTCCGCATGCACTCGAACAATACTTTCCTGTCCACGCCGTTTGCCATTCCCATGGCGAAAGCCTCTGCCAGAGTAACCATGTTATTACAGGCGGCATAGTTATTGGCGATTTTGGCAGCCAAGCCAGTGGAGAATGTTCCGCAGAAGGTGATGCGGTCCTCATGAGCCATTGTTTTGATAATATTATAGATCCTCTGTGCCACGGGATCCGAATCCGGGTTTCCAGGATGCCCAATCATGAACGCAAGAGTGCCCTCTCGCGCTCGTTTAATACCGCCCTTTGGCCTAGTCAGACTCTAATTTCTGGATCGAAAGGTTCAACCATTCACCGGATGCAGGAGGGAGTTCGCATGCATGGGGAAACAGGACCGCTTACCGATATAGGAGCGTCAACGTATGTGCCGATTCCAGCCTCAGAAAGTTCGCGTTCGACTTCTCGAGTTGTGGTCAGGTCTATGGTGCTGCACTCAAGCATAATCCTATCTGGGTCTTTGGGCGCCAGAATGATTCCCGTCTGATCATCAAGGTAAAGGGACCGCACATGAGGTGAGGCTGTGACAACGGAAATGAGAACCTTTGCCTGAGTCGCTGCTTCTTTGGCAGACTTGACGATATGAACTGGGCCGAAATCTGCGTGTTCCTCGGCGAACATTTTGCATGCTTCCAAGTTCAGGTCGTTGATGTATAGCGGCGTCTCCTTGGGCATCTTTTTGCGTAAATTCGAGGCCATTCGGTAGCCCATCCTCCCCAAACCTGGCCCGTCTCCCATTTAACCTCAATACGAAGCTCGAAGGGATGATAGACTTACCCACGAACGCAATACTTTTCTCAGGCGCCATGTCTGTCAGTTTGGTGCAGACCGAAATGGAGTATCCGTATGCTTTGATTAGTCTCTGGATCTGGAGCTCTTTATAAGATGTCACGTCTGTCAAAGATTCTGTTAACCTAGCACAAGGCGATGAAATAGGGTAGTCAACGTTGGATCGAAGACGTGGTGCTCAGGGGGATTAGCGGGTCTTCGATCAAGCGCGTCGGCCTGAAGCTCATTGGAGGGGAGGCTCAGGCGCCAACCAACTCCGTCGAGATATGGCCGAAATGCTCCACGGTGGCCATAGCCTAAAATTGAAGTATACATCTCTAAGTGACCGAGCGTGAAATCTACCCCGAGGGGAACAAGGAGTATCCCCTCCGCTCGGCGGACTGTAGTGAGATGGATTGAACTTCCGGCTGGGGATAGCCTAGCCTCACCAGCATGTGATGCTAGAATGTCATGCCGTGCATTTATTGAATAAACATAAGATTCATACTTGCCCGGTAAGTGTTGTTACTCCTGAATCTGGTTTACAAGACAACCTTCGATATTGTCCAGTCCTAGGGTGGGCTATATTAAACCTTACCTAGCCATCCTCGTCACTCTTTACTGTCGCAACGATGACGAACAATATAGGATTCATTGGCATGTCCCTCTTAATGGAACCAGTCTCGTCTGGACCTATGATAACGGATGATAGGCCTGGGCGCCATGGGCTTCCACATGGCAGGACACATCCGCAAGAAGATGGATCCAGCTTCGACCCTCTTCATCAACGATATTTCTCTGGCATCATGCAAGCGCTTTGTAGAGTTATTCAGCCAGTTCGGACCAGTCGAAGTGACAGAGACTGCCAGAGATCTTGCCAACCAGAGCAAGGTGATTCTGTCCATCGTCCCGCAAGGAGCCAACGTTCGAGCCGTCTATTTAGAAGGCTCTGGTGCCATAATAAAAGCTAATAAAGGGGACCGCTTGATCCTTGAATGTAGTACAATCGATATGAACACGACAAGGGATGTCGGCCGTCAAATTACTGATGCAGGCATTGGGACTTACGTCGACACTCCAGTCTCAGTAAGTCTCTGCACACAAGGACTCTTTCCCCGTTGCTGACCGGAGACCAACTCGAACAGGGAGGAGTGGTAGGCGCTCAAAGTGGTGCCCTCGCATTCCTCGTAGGTCATAAGGACAACAGTGTCGACCCCGTTACCCGGAAAATCCTTGAGATTGTGACGATGATGGGCCCTCCTGCAAAGGTTTCGTTCTGCGGGAACCTCGGCAATGGGCTGGCCGCCAAAATTACCAACAATTATATTGCCTGCTCGGTGCTTCTTGCTACTGCAGAAGCCATGGCAGTGGGTATCCGGGCAGGCGTCGACAAGAAGGTCCTCTACGACTGTATCCGCAATTCCACAGGCCAGTCTTGGGTGCTAGAAAATATGCTACCAGTTCCGGGGATTGTGCCTCACGCTCCGAGCAGCAATGGCTACCATCCAACTTTTAGACCGCACATGATCATCAAAGACATTAGCCTCGCCATAGAAGCAGCGGAGCAGACAGGAATCGAAGCAACTGTTGCAAAAACGGCATTGGAGGTTTTCAAAAAGTCGGCCGAGGACCCTCGCTGCGTTGTAAGTATTTCGGCTCCTTTCTGCTGCCGCTTTGCCGTCGCTGACCACTTTGTTGATAAAGGACCGAGACTGTACGTCGGTTTGGCTTATGATTATGGATGAGGAGGAAGAGGGTTCAGGCAATTAGTGGAAACATGGGGGGTTCATGCAAGTCAAATTTCTCATAAATATGCTAGATGACAAAATGCACTTTTGTACTGCCATTAACAGGCCTAGGTATTCACAGTCTGCGGTGCAAGTCCACAACAGCCCACGGGCTTTTTAACTTAGATCTACCCAGGTTCGAGACTCTCCTTTTACCAAGCATGCGATTGGAGGCTTCCTCCATCCATGCCTATCAATTTATTCCTCCGCTACACCGGAACGAGTTTTGTACCAGCATCTGCAACATATCAGTCTCTGATTTCCTCAACATGCACCAGGTGCACATCATCCTCAGTAGGTTTCTCGTACATAGCAGCCTTGAGCGCTTCAGTAATGTAGTGTGGCTTAGCGAAGCGTCTACGAATTGCCTCTTGTTGTGGGTCGAACAAGATGATATCATCCCCGAATTTTTTCAGCAATATCCCCAAGTGCCATTCCCTTCGTCTGGTAGGGTTATCAGCACTCGTAGTCCAGTAATGATGATTCTAATCTTACCTCTTGGAACACAAAGTATGTGACTATACCAGCGACGATCGACTTCGAGATGAAGAAAGGATAGAATTCTCAGCCAACGTGTTCGAGAGCTGTTGGGGTTGTGGAGAGATAAATCAAAGATGAAAGCAAGAGGCTACTGGCTCCTATGTTGAGCCCACGAGCTCGGACTGGATTTAGGAAGATTTCCGCCGCAAAGATATAAGTAGTGGTGTCGATATGCCTGGAGAGAAAAAACCAGGAAAAAGAAGATGAAGAACACAGCGGCCTTACCAGCTGCTTTGGAGCTATTGATCTGAAAGACCGACGCGGAGACCTACTCCCCGATCAGTGCGCGTCAGCCAGGTAGGTTATGGAGATCATTTCTACTTACACATCATCGAGATTCGGCCAACCTTATCAACAGCCCAGCCATTGTAGAATTTCCCTGGCGGACCCTTGCACAGCCAGCAGGCGTTCAGCAGCAGCTGTACGGCCGCAGGTAAGTCGGTGTTCTCAACAGTTGCTTCTGGAGTAGAAACGGGAGAATGAACTCTTAATGGCGAGTGTTCCGGTGCCTTGAGCCGCGCACATCACCAGGAAGGCGACGAAGCACCTCTTTCGTAATGTAGGTCTCTTGAAGAAGTCGATCAGTGGTGCTGGATCTTTCATCTCCTCAGGCACCTGCAAATGAAGCAAGTAGTACTCTTCTTGAATCGCATCTTGGTCTGTTTTATCCACAGATTTGGTTCTGCAGGACTGGAAGGCTTTGAAAGTCTCCTCATAACGATTTTGCATGAGAACTGTCATCCAAATTCAGCAAGTATGCAATTCGCACCAAGATGTGCAACTTACGCAGTCGAGGCGAATCGGGAACGAACATGGCTCCGATGGAGAGAAGGATAGAGTTGAATGCTTGGATCGGAAGAGGCAGCCTCCACTGGGCAGCATTTACGTCCACTGGGCAGCATTTACGTCCACTGGGCAGAACATAAACCCTGTAAAGCTGGCATGGATATATCCCATACCAAAGATAGCACCATGCGTCACGACCAGAAAGCCTCGAATCTTTAGTGGAACAATTTCACTTTGGTAAAGAGGCATCAGGATCACAAGAATGTCTAGACAACGCCGTCAGCCCATGTGTGTATTATCACGAGGGCCATTCTTCTGCTATTGCAGCTGCCACTCACTCACGGCAAGTCCGGTGAGCTATCTGGCCACCACGAAAATGGCAACATGCACTATCCCAGCTTGAAGCTCGCTGCCGACTACGACCAGTAGGACTCCTACAGAATGGCTTTCTTCCTTCCCAAAGAGTCGGCTAAGTAACAGCAGATCATGCATCCAAGAACGCCTCCCACCGAGAACAGGCGATTGATCGCCCCAAGCAAAGCAGCCTCGTCGGAGGGGGTGTTGAGGCCCAGATAGTGAAGAAAGGTTGGTTGGGCCAGCGTTGTGGCAACGATCGCGGAACTAAACCATAGGTCCAGCTCCCATGAGCCACGAAGCAGACAATCTGGCCTTAAGTCAAAAATTGTCAGAGGGTGAGCTATAGACAGAGCTCGAGAGGCGAACGGGGCCTCTGATTTCCCAGGCGGCGCCGAGATTGCCTCGGGCTGCTTTCCAGCAAATCGGCGGGCTCCAGGCGATTGGCATCATTGTTGGTGTTCGGGCTGAATAGGCGACCTATGAACAATTGATGACAACAAGGTTGATAATTTCGCTTTCTCTGCATTGAATTCATGAAAGTTGACTTCTTTCACAACTAGGAACCCGACAAAGTACCACAATGGCCCAAAGTCCAGACCCTCATAGCCAATTCATCACTCATCCTACCGGACAGACGACACATATCATAGTCGATGATTTTACTGATCCATGGAAACCTTCCGAGACTATCTTGATTCAAAGTGGCTTTGCTCGGCATGCTGCATTCTGGTATCACTGGGTGCCTGCCCTCAGCCGCCGTTACCGGGTTATTCGACGGGACCTTAGAGGCCACGGTCGCTCCAGCTGTCCTGAGCCAGGATCTGGGTACGATTATTCTCTCGACACCATTCTAGAAGAGATCCTTGATACGCTGGATCAGCTGAATATCCCAAAAGTCCACTTTCTGGGTGAATCAACGGCAGGAATGATAGCGGTAGCTTTTGCAGCCAAACATCCTGACCGATTACTGAGCTTGACTACTTGCGCGACTCCGACTCATCTTCCAATGTCGGCGCAAAAAGAGTGGGCTTTGGGATATAAAGACTGGGAGACTGCTTGTCGAACCTTGGGCCCCAAAGAATATTGTAGTACCCTTTCGAAAATGCCAGGCGGAATTGGACAACCAGATCCGGAGTACGCGAAGTGGTGGCTGGAACAGATAGGATTGAACAGCGGAGAAGGACTTGCGCAGTACGCAAAATTCTTGAGTACACTCGAGATCCGACCATTCTATGAGGATATTACCAAGTCTCAATTGCCGGTGTTGATACTAGCGCCCACTCGAAGTCGGAACACAAACTTTCAGGATCAACAAAAGCAAAGAGACTTCCTGAAGGGATGCACGTTTGAGATAGTGGACGGAGCCGGGCACGAAATCTTCGTCGACAAAGCCCAACAGTGCCAGGATGCTGTGCTCAAGTTTTTGGAGAACATTCGAGCGGAGGGCCTGAGGCATTGAGGATAAATATCGCATAGGATGGCAAGAGAACAAAATAAGCATGCTTAAGTTGGACTCTTGGCCGGTAATAGCTATAAATATTCCTATGCGATCAGTCCTCCATCAATAAGGTAGACTCCACCGCTGATATAACTTGAATCGTCACTCAGTAGAAAGGCGAACAGCTTGGCGACCTCTTCTGGTTTGCCATTTCGACCCAGCGGAGCAGTTGAGAAGGCTCGGGCCCCTACCGCTTCGGTGTCAAATACACGTTGCAACATGGGAGTCTCAATTGAACCTCTGAATATTCATCTACCATCAGCTCGAAAGACACAATACTGAGGAGTACGTGGCAAACTTACGGCGCGACTGCGTTCACTCTGATGCCTGAAGGTCCAGCCTCCTTCGCTGCCGTTTTCGTCAGGCCAGCGACCCCGTGTTTGCTCACGGCGTATGCGCACATGCCAGGCCGACCGACCAGTCCCACGATGCTGGAAGCATTCACGATTGAAGACCCCGACTTCATAACCCTCAGCTGTGCTCGCACACAGTACATGAGGCCAGTCAAGTTGATGGAAAGGATGAAATCCCATTCCTCGTTTGCTTGATTCACCAGACTGCCGCTCAAACCATGCTTGCCTTCAACACCAGCGAGATTGGCGGCTCCATCGAGCTGGCCGAAATGATTGATCGTAGCTTCCACCCAGGCATCCACCTCCTTGTCTGATGCCACGTTCACCCGGGTCCCAGTAGCGTCAACGCCCGAGGACACCAATTCGTCGAGCAGCTGTTTGAGCGGTTCTTCTTGGATATCTGCCAGTGCAAGCTTGGCCCCTCGAGAAGCCGCAAGCTTTGCCAGTTGCCGCCCCATGCCTGAGGCCGCCCCGGTGATAGAGATGACCTTCCCCTCAAGCGATGCCATGTTGTTCAAAAGCACAGTCAGACGAAGGAGAGTACAGTATGGGGAGATTCTCAGCCAGTCCGTGTATTTTGAGAATGCTCGAGACTCAAATCGCCAAAGGAGGACACTGTGCACCGTATAGCCGAAGACCGAGGTTGTCTATGCATTCGCATATTGGGAAGTATATCTTCCTCCGTGCTAGAAACTGAGTCTAATCGGATCTAGTGCCGGCCAAGTTTGTGATGAGCCAAGCGGAAAGCGGATCTAGCCAACTCGGCCACTGTCCTATTGGCTCTCTGCTTGAAGGTACCCACGCACCTTTTCTCCGGCCCCGGTCCCCTGATTTCCTTGGAAGACTGTGTAGCAACCATTTAAATTCACTATCGAATAACAGACAGCTGTCCTACATGTCAAGATGCAGCAGTTGGTAGCTTTGGTAACGGGCGCCGCCAGCGGCATTGGGAAAGCGACGGCACGGAAATTGGCCAGCCGCGGCATCTCAGTGGTACTGGCAGATATGAATCAAGAGCTCGGAACAACGATAGCCAAGGAACTCAGAGACAAGTACAACGTAAAGACAATATTCCATCGCGTTGATGTGACGAAAGAACCAGAGGTCAAGGACCTGATCGCGGAGGCGGTCAAATTAAGCGGAAGGCTGGACTACGCCGCCAACTGTGCAGGCATTGCGGAGACGGTCGCCAACGAGGAAGAAAGCATCACAACTGCGTGGTTTGACAAGTATGCAATCAGTGTTGAACTTTGAAGCCCTGGATATTGAGCCTGCTGACGTTATTGCCAGAGTCCACTCAGTCAACACTCGAGGGGTATGGTTATGCCAGAAATACCAGGCGCAACAGATGCGAAGCCAGACGCCCAGAGCTATCACATATAATCCACCAACTGAGCAGACAGTTCCTCCGCAAAGAGGAGCGATCGTCAATGTCATCTCGATCTCCGGGCTGGTCTCGGTGAGTTTCCACGATCCCATCGATTGCTTTCGACGATCTGGTCATACGGCTATCATCCTTCTATTTGTTCGGGTGACACCCTTCGTCTTCGAGTGAAAATTGCTAACGTCGATGACCACCATCAGATGGGATTTGCCGCGTACACTCCCAGCAAGCACGCCGCCGTGGGCATCACCAAGACCGGAGCTAAATTCTATGGCCCGGAGGGTATCCGCGTCAACGGCATCTGCCCAGGTTGGACCATCACGCCCATGACCAACCGTAGTTATGGAGACGGGGCCGTCGCTGGAACTGCTCAGTATGATGAGTCCCCTGTCAACAAGAACATCACCTTGGGCCGTATGGCATTCGCCGAAGAGCAGGCAAATGTTATCAGCTTTCTTTTGAGTGACGAGAGTAGCTACATGAATGGTTCTTTATTGGTGGTCGACGGAGGATTCCACGATATAGTCTCGGCGTAAAAGTCCGGCTCTTGCAAGTTGAACAAATGGAGATTTTAGGCCACCAAATAACGCCATTCGTCAAAGCTTGTCTCGTGAATTTGCATCAAATACAGTAATGTATCTTCTATCAGGACTCTGATTTATGTTGCGCCGACGCGAGGCTGAACATTACGAACGTGCTCTAAGTGCATGTAGTCAAACTAGGAATTTTCTAAGCAAAGCTCCGAAGATACAAGCTGCTAATGTGAACGGCTTCAGCTAGGCAAAGTGCCGTTTCAGGATTTTTATTCCCTCTCCCTTTAATGTATGTCGTGTTACCGAATCCTCAGCTTACAGACGGCGCTGGCCAGTTTTATAGGACTGAAAGTGAAGATCCGGAGGAATTTCATCTCGCTTGGGGCTCAGAGAAGGTTATGAAGCCGACTTGATACAAGCTAAGATCCAACTGATGATCTTCTCGTCCGTCCTCCGGCGGACCTGGGGCTCAATCCACCTCGAGCCCATGGCAAAGATATGCAGCTGACCCCATTCCACGACCATCTCATGTTTCAGACCCGCCTCGCGACACAAATAGGACCAATCCCGGCCATCCTGCATCGCGAACTCTGCTCCACCCACAAGTATTAACTGTGGGCTCAGGCACTTAATCCCTTCCGCTGGCCGAAAAAGCGGGTTTACGTCAGGAGAGTCGCCGGGAAGGTCGCCCAGGAACATCTTGTACATCATCGGCACCGACTGGTTTGCCGTCACGACATAGTCCGTCGCGACCAAGGGGCAGCCGCCCTCATACTGCCTGAGTGAGCAGTCTAGCCAGGGAGAGATGAGGATTGTCCCCGAAGGCTGGGGCAACCCGAGCCGGTCGAGTTCCAGACCGAGCATTATGGACAACGCCGCTGGATTTTGTGCCCGTTAGTTTCT